AAAGCGTTGCTTGCGAGTGAAGCTGTCTCTCAGTGGGCGGTCTCTACCCACCAGGATGAAAGGCCTTTTTCTATTGGTCACTCTCGATTGAAGTGACAGGTTGACCACGCCCACTACGTTTTCCCGCCAGTTTGACAGAAGAGCGGGCTTCTAGCAGCAATGGCCAGCAACAGCTCGTTTACTGGGTAAGATAGCTAATTTAACATCTTAAACTCAGTGACAGGTGAACTTAATCTCTCTTCTCATGCTCTCCCATCTAAATACGTAACGTTAGCTAAACCCGTCTGTAGCTGGTGATACCGCTGAATAGGTTTGATTAGCCAACAGTACATTAGCTATTTTCCACAGCCCCCAGTAGTAAAGAGTCAGGTTTAGGTAATCATACAGTTTTACTCAAAGATGAGTGATTTGGAAGAAAGGTGGCTTCTTTCCAAAGCTGCAGGTGTGCTTTTTAATCATTTATCATCATTTAATATTAAAGGCTTAGTTCACCAAAAATGAAAATGCTGTCATTAATTACTCACCCTCGTGTCGTTCCAAACCAGACAACACTAGAGTATGCTCCAAACATTTTCCCCCGGACTGCATTGTACGATCGCTCACTGGTTTACACAGACTGAAACATGGAAGCGTGCCAACTTTGTTTACGTGGAGCTGAATAAAAAAATGTGATAGTACTGTAATGTTTTATCATATTACCTGATGTAATTTGTCATGTTGCATAACCTAATCAAAGTGATATGAATTAATTTTGTTTGCTGTCAATTCTTACAGATGCACAATTTGTATATTATCATTTACAGTATTGCCAGAATGCTGTTTATTCAGACTTGACATATAAAACTGTTGGAAGTGTCAGATCTTCATCAATTGGCGGCAAATTTGATACATTTTAAATTTCAGAATTTCTGTAATATCTATGTCTGTGACAACTGTGCATAAGCGTACAATATGAACAAAAGGAACTTTATTAATTGTGATTTTCCTACCCAGTGTTATTGATATTGAAACATTTGAGGACCATTCATTTTCTGATCAGAACACGGGAGAACAGTGAGTCATCTATCTAATGCCAACAGAGTGAGAGATGTCTTATATAGGCATGAAAATGTAAGAAGTCGGCAGTTTTGTCTAGAAAGATTCCAGTGTGAGCCCAAGCTGATCATGTTTTACACCGGATTTAAAGATTATGAAACCCTCAAAGCACTCTACCAGTCTCTTCGACCTGCAGCAGTCTCTGGTGAGATGGACTCAAATGCAAAGACTTCATAAAAGTCAACCAGATGAGGACTGTTTGTGCTCTATTGACACATTTCCAAGGACCTCTATTTTAAATAAATAGCTCACTCAGAAATGAAAATGTGATTTCAGATTTGGAGGAATTTAGCATTACACCATTTGCTCAGTACCTTGGGTGGCCTGCGAGTAAGTACATTTTCAACAATTTCCCTTTTGGTAAACTATTAATTTACTCCGCAAAACTACATTTTAGCTTACAGTTAAAAAAA